TCAGTCAGTTAGTCTTGGAATCAGTCTTGGAGTCAGTCAGTCTTGGAGTCAGTCAGTTAGTCTTGGAGTCATGGAGTCAGTCAGTGTTGGAATCAGGTCTCGGGGGAAGCAGTTGGAGCATGGAGGTCCAGTCATTTCTTTCCACAGCCACCTCTTCCAGCTCTTCTGGGAGAACTCCCAAGGTGTTCCCAGTCCAGCTGAGAGATATGGTCTCTCCAGAGTGTCCGAGGTCTTCCCCGGGGTCTCCTCCCACTCAGACACTCTCGGAGCACCTCCCAGGAACCATCCTTACCAGATTCCTGAACCCCCTCAACCAACATGAACATAGACAAAATACTTGGCTGTTTTTTTTTTTTTTGCTAGGACCTGCAGAGTTAAAATGGCTGACTTAGAAAAACACACTGACGACAGGGAAAAGCTGAAGTAGTCACATGATCTATGTGTGTATGACAAATAAAGAACATTGAATCCTTGAATATACATAATTATTTTATCATTTATATAAAAAAGTCACTTTTCCAGACAAGTTATAACTTAAATGGAACTTTTAAAGTCTGAAACGTGTAACTGCGTTTCCTCTCTTCCCACAGATCATTTCCTTGTTCGACTTGGTGCGTTACTGCGTCAGTGTTTGCAACCAGATTGCCAGTCATCTTCACATTTTTGTTTTCAAAATCAAGCCCTACTCGGTTCCCGTCTCGGCTCCTCGCTGAGGCCGCGGCGGCCGTCACTGACTCAGTTCCTCGCAGTTAGTCGCGCTCATCTTCTATTTCCTAGAGTTTCCACGTAGAGCGGCAGGAGACGACGAGGTGTAAAGTATGTGCTTTTGCCACCTGAATGTGAGGACAAATAATATATATTAAGATACTGGAATATTACCGTTGTTTTTTTTTTTCACCAGTGCATAGTTTAATTTGTGCCAGTTTCATCTTCTGACAAATTCAAGGTTGCAGGAAGCAAATATTCAGGAGAGAACAGGTGCTACTCGCTGTGTTCATGGAGAGAAGCTCACGTGTTTTAACTGTATGGGTGCGAAAAGATGTATAGGACAAGAATCAAACTCTTTACTTTGATCGTTCTCATTTTTGTAATATTTGCATAAATTTACCTTTTGCCATTGTAAATACCAAACTTACTTCTCTGCTTCGTTTCGACACATTTCTAAACTTCTTTCTTCATGTGTTCGATTTTAAAGCAACTTCGTCTTCTGCACATTAATCCAAACTGAGCTGCTATGCTGTGTCAGCAAAATATGGTTTTGGTGGAAACTGAACGACAACTTTGACTTTTATTTAACACATCGAAACGTCCTTTTTTGTAGAAAACCTAGAAACGAATTCACTGCCAGTCTTGATTGCACTTTTCTTTCCGTTTCCTCTGTTGTTTTTTTTTAAGTGAATGTGAGGGTTGCATGTCTAGTGATGCATTACAGGAGGCCGGCTTTATTCACATTTACTTGTATTGTTGGCACAAAAGGAAGCTTTACACAAGTGGACGAGAGCAATAGATGCATTTAGACACGTTTACGACAAAATACCTTAACTTTGAAGTCTGTTACTGCTTTATTTTTTTTTCTTTAAGTTGTTCATTTTTGCAGTTACAGATGAAAGATGTGAAAAGTAATTAGTGGCCTTTTTAATTTTGATGACCTCATCCAAAGGTTTGCTCGCATGTTGCGATCGTTAATGACGAAGGTGTTCTTTTAAAAGGAACACCGCAGTCCTGTTACACTTTCAAGGTTTAAATTCGGCTCCATCCGATGCTTTTAATCGTTTCATTTAGCGTCAGAAATATCTAGTGAAAACGCCAAAACAAACCTCCATGTTTCACTTTTATTACTCCCGTACGGTGACATGCTTGCTAACGAACGTCTGAAAGCAGCGTGCCGTATATTACGTTGATGAAAATCTCCGTCATCACAGCTTTTTGCTCCTCCATTTTGAGCTGTGCATGTGAACACAGCTGTCTTAGCAGCGAGAGGTCAAAAACCACGCTGCAGGTCAAATTAAAACGGGTCACGGATAGAAGAAACGCCACAAAGTCCAAGACTTTTTTCTTTTTTTAATGTTTTCCAGGGGTTTTGTTGGAGGATGAAGTACCACCTGACACTTAAAAGAATAGATGTGAAAGATATTCAGTATTGATTCTTGCAGCGACTGAACTGAATCATCACTGTGAGCCGTCTTCAGTGTTAACAGTCTCCTCCTCAGACGTTCTGCGCGCTTCAGCGGAGCGGAGGAGGCCGCATGACCTCCTCGTGGTTTTTAATGCGAGAACTGACCAGAATCGGATCAAACTTCATGAAACGACTTTCCGCTCGCGCTGAATTCACTCGTCGTTCCGATTCCGGTGCAGCTCCTCGCATCAAAGCTGCACATTTCATGTCCTTACAAAGTAACATTTTATAGCTTATCGTGCCTGTTTGCGCTGCATCTGCAAATTCTCTTGCTATGCCTCTACGTTTTCTTTACTTTCATCAGCGATGCCAATCGTAGGCGTCGAGTCTTATTAACGTTTAGTGTCCGAGTTTTCCCTGAGGCGGCGTTATGGGATATCTGACGACCTATTCACACAAACATCCACACGAGAGCTGGAGGTTCACCCAGATCCTAAAACAATATTCTTTAATAACCTAAAATATAGACATGTATAGAATGCAGCGACTTAAAGGATTCAAAAATATTAATAATTTTGAGGAATTATAAAGGAACAGTGTGTAATATGAATAGTTATATACAAATAAAATAACTTGCGTTGGAAGTAAATGTATCATGTTGATATACAAAACAACTAAATTCAAAATGTTTATTTTACTTACAAATAACAGTAATTTAATATTTCCAGAATGACAAAACATTATAATTTCTAAAATGATAGTACCGTATTTTTCGGATTATAAGCTCATTCACAATAATCACATAAAATCAGTTCGAGGTAACGACAACCAGAATTAAAACATAACGCGCACCTGGTTACAAGGCTCACTGTCATTTGTGAGAATATTAAAGGATTTTAAGTGCGCCTTATAGTCTGAAAAATACGGTACGAATGGAAAATTAAAACATTTCATCAATAAAAGTAGTTTTTTTGTTTTGATCAGAGTAAAAGACCTAACTTTATGTGTGTGTGTATATATATATATATATATATATATATATATATATATATATATGTGTATATATATAAATACAATTTACCAGTCAGGTTGACAAAGTCCAATCTTTAAAACAAAAAAACATTTTTAAACACTCAGGTTAGATTTATTTTAGCGGGAACTGATTTAATATTATAATTTCCAGGAGTTTCTAAAAACGTTTTGTTCCATTTTCTAATTTGCTGGAAAGCAAAATTATTGGAAAATACGTCATGAAGTTGGGAAACGTCTGTGATTTGGATGATCACATTTATTAATCGGGATCATTTTCCTGCAGCGTTTAATTCTAACGCGAGTGTTAAAAGACTCATTTAAAACAAAGTCTATTAAAATGTAATTTTTTATTATTTTTTTTTTTTTCCATTTCCAGCGTTGCAGTTGAAATTGAGGAATGAACCTGTTAAACTGCATGTGTTGTACTTTCCCACTGTTGGTATTTGGAGAGTCTTTGTAAAACTTCTACCTGCGTTTTTCAGCAGCACGCTTTTCGTTTCCGTCACGTCCACTCTCGTTCTGTCAAGTTTGCCTTAAACGTTTGTTTTCTATGGTTTTGTAAAGACAAGAAGCCTTTCTGGGGGAGCGTGTTGCCGCCGTGTGTCTCTGCTCTCGGAGGCTCGTATTAAAATGTGTTTGCTTTTGGCCCAACTCAGGTATTTCACCAGTGAGTACAGCAGTGAACAAGGTCACCTGACGTGCAAATAAATTCCATACTTCAACCTAAAAACGACTTGGTTTGTCTTTGAAATCATCTTCTTGTTCCTTCGGGACTTTTATTACAAAACAACAACTCAAAGAACCAGGATTGTGTAAATGTTTGAAAACACTTTTACCATTTTCATAGTTATACCTGGAAGATACCAAAAATACACTTTGACATAGTAACACCCGTATAGGTGGTGGTAAATTACTTGAATTCAAGAATTATCAAAAAGAACTTTTAGATCATTTATTAGATCTTCTATAACCACTTATGAAAGTCATCTTTTTTAGATATTGTTCATTTACTGTAGATTTTTATCTTTACTTCCATGTCTGCATTTCTTTTTTATTTTTTTCTTGGATACATGAAAATTAAAATCACATTTTCAAATAGGACATTTTTGGAAAAATGTTATAAATGATGCATTGATTTGCAAATCTCAAACTAATATTTTGGTCACAAACAGTGAACAAGTCACTGAAACTATTAATTAATGAAGCAATGTTAATATTTATGATAGATAAAAGTGAAGACGGGTAATAAAAAGGCTCTAGAAGTAAAGCCCCTTGCCACTGATATGACTCGAGTGGGTTCTCGTCTTCTCACATCTTCTCAGGTGCAGGTGAACTGTGACTTGTTTCCCCGCTCTCTGGACAGGATCGTAACGGTAATCTGACCAATGTTTTTATCTTACCCAGGCCTTCTTACAGGTCCAGGTGTAGCTCTGCTGCGCCATCATCTCTGATAACTTGTGCCAGTTCTTGTGGCGCCGTCCAGCTCACCAATGAATCATCCGCCAATGAAGACAGAAAGCTCCTCGTCATTGGTCCACGGCATTATTTTTGGAGCTTCGTACTGAATTAGAAAACTTGACAAAACGAACTCATTGGTCAGGTCATGCAGTGACGGCGTTGATGGCCTCGGAACGTTCACTTGGAACTGCGGATGAGACGGTCTCAAACTGGGCTGAGTGGGGCAGTGGTATAGACCAGGGGTGTCAGATTCACAAAAGAGGGCTAAAATTAAAACCTTTTTCAAACTAAGGGCCAATTTCAGAAACTACATTAACTCAAATTACAGTAAATACCCACAGGTTCCTCAACAAGAGTTTGATTGGTCTCATTTGATGTTCTCTGTTGTGCTTTCAACATCATAATCAAAAATGACTGAAAAAAATTCAAGAGATAGAAGTATTTTACGTTTCTCATATCATCTTGGGGGCCAGATAAGATGTCAACGAGGGCCACATTTGGCCCCCGGGCCTTGAGTGGTATAGGTCCTTAACTAGTGCTGTGAGGTGCGGAGCGGGCTAGACACTCATATGAGTAATATGAGAAAGCTTCATCCTCTGGACGTTAGAGGAGGGGGACCACCCAGTCTGTTATTAATTCAAAAGTGCCTCTCTGATGGTATAAGGGTGCATTAGAGCCTCTTGCACATCTGTAAAGAGGCCATCAATGCAGAAAAGTGGTTTACTAACATGTTATCCAGCTAAACATAAAAATGCAACAAAGAATAACTGTTGAATTTTCTGTAATACAAACACGGGACAACATTCCCTTCGAGAACTCCAGTTGACTGTAACTTTCAGCCACGTCGCCTTTGGCAATCACCCGACTTCCGGTAGCACGCCGTTGCTCCGCAGACTTGCCTGCGAGTCAGCGTTCAGGACACACAAATCCCTTCATGGTATGTGCGTAATGCGCATGCGTGCCACTTTGTGGAAGGAAGCGCACGAGTCGTGGTAGATTTTAAAGTTTTTCAGAGCAAATCGGTGTTTGCGCCTTCGAGCAAGCTCAAGAAGAGCAACGGAGTTACGAACGGCTCGTTTTTATGTTGAAATAAATTGTCCGGTTTGTTATTTTGCGGCGCAGAAAAAGTAAAATCTCCGGAAAACTCGATAAACGTGAGTATCATTACTGGTCTTCATATAAATGTATGATCAAAGGCGAAGCTGGATAAGAATCAGTGCAAACTTTAATAAAGTTTAACACACGTCCGCATTCCTGAACAAGTTGTCCAAGTGCTCCACTAAATGTATTTGTTTTGATACAAACAATGTAAGTTTGACTTTGCTCTGTTTTGGTTTTTAAACAGTTCTTTATATTGTATTTGCAGTATTGCTTGGTTTAGTGTTGATTTATAAACCGGATTAAAACCTTGACAGTTTCCCTTCATGAGAACAGGGAAGTGAAACTGTTTGAACTGAAGTTCTTATAAACAAATAAACATGTCGAATTATAAAGAAGTCATCAGGGGGTTGAGCCTTGAAGCTCTGAATTTAATCTTTAAAGGACTTTGTTTCCACTTAGTTTGATGTCTGTTTCCAAAAATGACTGAGCTTTTAAAATAAAATACATCTGAATTATAAGGCATGTCTATTTAACTTTAAATTCATCCAACTCAGTTGTAAAAAATGTAAAGAAAAACGTCTCATCCTTGACATGTTGCAGAGAAAAGTGGTTTTTAATTCAATCACCTTTAGAGAAAATGAATGTCTTTTGTTTTAACCAACCTAAATAACAATCTAACGACATATTTCAGGCTAGATGGGTTTTATTTAAATGTTTGTGCGAATATAATCTAATGTTAATGTTCTAGTTTACTTGTCTCTATATGTGTGCTTTTTATTTTCTTGTTGCCATGGCAGCAAATTTCAAATCGTGAAAGCGAACAAATTACTACAAGGTCTCTATAAACCATTTATTATTGTGATTAAATGCTTGATGCTAAATTTGCATTATTTTGTAGAGTCCAGATAATAATTAATAAGATAATCAGGTTAGTATTATTCAATTCACACAAAGTTGTGTACTTGTTTGAATGCACATATAAACATTTTAAAGTCAAATTGTAACCAGGCTTTTGTTTTTATGCAGAAGTTGACATCAGCAAATCTAAATAAACTTTCATTGAGATGATGATGATGATGATTTGTACAGGAGTGAGCGTCGGACCAGTGAGGAGGCCATGTGGTGGTTTCAGCAGGGTCTGTGTTTCCTGCCCGCCGCTCTGGTCATCTGGACGGTGGCGTCCTTCGTCTTTGCTTACATCACAGCGGTGGTGCTGACGCACGTGGACCCTCTGGTGCCTTATATCAGGTCAGAGTCAGGACTTTCCTAACTTACACTTTCATAAGGATGACGTCAGTCATACACAACAGAAGCTAAAAGTTGGGTTTTTTTTTTAAAGGTTTTTATTTCCTTTATTTCTTATTTTCTGAAGCAGAAAAAAAAATACATGATTTAAATGGACCGGGTCCGTTTTTGAGGAGGTTGTTCTCAAGCAATGCCTACATTATTATTTTTTTTTAATCTAATTAGGTTAATAAAACCAAAAAAGACTTTTCTGATGTCCCATTTGTTTTGTGTTGCAGCGACACGGGAACCATGGCGCCAGAGAGATGCGTTTTTGGGATCATGTTGGATGTGTCCGCAGTTTTAGGTGCAGTAAACGCGCACGTGCACGGACTCTTCATTCTGCAAACCAGTCCCTGTGAATTTACATAATCTTCAACTGAACTGGTTGCATTGGTTAGCAATCCGTTACAGAAACAAAGGGCTGAGTTGAAATTATAGTTTATTTGTTGCGTTAGCAAAATATCTGAGGAAGCAGCGGATGGATCTTGGTGAAACTCTCTGAAAGCACATCAGTGTATGACTAGTGGAGGGTGGCTCGAGTTGTTTGGGTTTCACAGAAACGTGTCAGAAGCCTGTGTGGACTTGTCACGGTGTCCATCCTCATTCCTTCCACCACTGGAAGTGACGGTCGTAACGAAGACAGAAAAAGTTACAGTTTATTTATCTGCGAGAACAAACAACTGGAAGATGCACTATGGAAATTCAAGAGTCAGTGAGTGTCGGAAAAGCTGGAAAGTCCGTCTTTAACGTGCTTTGCTTTGTTTTTTTAAGTTGCTCTACCCCCTTCATGAAAAAATATCTCTTGACATCTTTCAGCAGAAAAATAAAACGTTCTAACAGTTGCAATAGTGGTTGGAAGAACATGAAACAGATGTGCTATTCAACTAAATTACTCAGGGGCCATAGTTACTGAAAGCCAAGACCTCAGGGGCCGAACGTCCAGCAGTTATTCTCATAAAGTAAGGTCGTTTTATGATTTAAAATTGAGTTTTACAGTAGTCCCTCGTTTATCGCAGGGGGATCCGTACACTGAAGACACGCGATAAGTGAAAAACCGCAAAGTAGGAATAGTAGTACAAGTAGTAACTGGTTTATTTTATTATATATACGTTTTAAACCCTTCCCACACTTGCAATGTTCTAAACAATTCTAAACTCTCTAAAAGAGCACAGCGTGTCATGATTTCAGCTCTCTGCCTCCTCTGCTCTTTGCCACCTGCAAGCACTCTTGGCCACGCCCACTTCTCCGTGCTGCACTGTGAACAGCTGATCAGCTGCAGCAGGAAGTTTACCCTGCAGTATGGGCTGCACAAAGATGCAGCAGGTGCTAAATAATTTAAAATAATTTATTATAAATAAAAATTCCATGGCGATCGTGCAGTTCATCCATCAATCAGCCAATTGTGTGTCACGTCCAATCTTCTTTTGAAAAACCGCGATGGAGCGAGTCCGTGATAAACAAACCGTGAAGTAGCGAGGGACTACTGTATTTAAAAATGAACCCATTGGTGGGCCAAACTGAGCACATTTGTGGGCCTGATTTGGCCCCTAGGCCTTCAGTTGAATAGCCCTGCCTTAAGGTGTTCATCTAGTATTTGTTGAACTGTATGGACCTACACAGTTATACATCCATCCATTATCTTTACCCATTATCGTCTACATGTTGTGTGTCCTTGCTGTTTGCAGGCGTAGCCACGGTGTACGTGCGTTACAAACAGGTAGAGGCTCTTACAGACGAGGATGACGTCACGAGCCGAAGGCTGAACTGGATCGGGCTGCTGTTGGGCTGCATCAGCTCCTTTGGGATGAGCGTGGTGGCCAACTTCCAGGTGAGAGCTGCTGTTCTGAGATCAGTTCTCGCACGGGTGTTGAATGCGTCCGCCATGAGCATGCGTGTCCCTCTCAAAGCAGAAGACCACCTTGTTTATCATGCACCTGGTGGGGGCTGTGTTGACCTTCGGGGTCGGAGCGCTCTACATCCTGTTTCAGACGCTCCTCTCGCTCTACATGCACCCGCACATCAGCAGCAGAACCATATACCTGGTTCGCCTCGGCATCGGAGTCTGCACCCTGTGCAGCATCGTCAGCAGTATCCTTTAAACCGTGGGTCCAGTCCAGGAGCCGAGCTCTTCTGGTTCGTTTCATTAAAGACACTAAATATCACTTACATGAAAACTTTATTCCCCGAAGCCTTAATTAAAAGATGAAAATGGCTTGGGGAAGTTAAAACAAGCAGAACAGATGCTGAAATAAACAGAACACAAGCTGAAAGGAAAATGGTTAAAAGGATAAAGAACCAAAACAGTAGCAAAAGTGATGCTAAAATGGACAAAAGAGCTAAAAGTAGCAATATTTTAGCAAAAATTGACATTGACTGACAATCAGCAAAACAGTAGCTAAAATATAGCATAAGCAAAATGGAAGCTAAAAGATAAAAGTAGCAGAACGACAGCTAAAATTAACAATATAGTTGCTCAAGTGACACAACTGAGTCCATTTGTTTTCTCTCCTCTGGACGTTTGTTCCTCTGAAGGTCTTTTAGCAGTTCTGGAGTAAATCAATTGCTCCAGGATAAAAAAACAACAAATACAAACACTGAAACAACATCTCCAGGGTTATTTTTTATGTTTGAAGAGGCTAACATTAGCAGATGTCTTGTTTGAGATTGGTTTATTTTGCATTTTGGTTAACGATGCATTCATTGAATATAGGAAATCAGAACTTTTGTCCTCCCGTTGAGACAAAATTTAAGAACGATAAGATGGAAACCATTAGTGTATATATTATCACATAAAACCCAATGTTTATTGTCCTTCGTGTGGCCTCTTTAATTCTCATGTGGGTCTGCGTGTGACCTGTTTCACCTTAACGACCTGTCAGTGTTTGTTTCATCCGTCATCATGTACAGCACTTTACGAGGCGTCGACGTACCTCATAAACTCCACTGGATACCAGGAGAGCCGGTCAGTATTTACTCGTTCACTGACACTACAACAAACTTACAAAGAGAATTATATAGTATTTAATTTACCAGAATTGTAGATTTTTTTTTTTTTTTAAACATACATTTATCTTCAGTTCTTCAGTTACAGAAAAGGTGTTCCACAAGGTTATGTATGAGGGTCTGTTTTTTTTTTTTTATTGGTTTTCCTACAGAAATCAAAATGCGTATATATTTTTATTTTAAAAAAGAAAATCAAAAACCTGCAGAACTTTATGATCTGAACTAGAAACTAAAATCCTTTCAGACATTTGGTGTTATCTGTCACTGATGAGTATCAGGCACAGAAACTATTCAGTACCGAATATTAACAGAACATTCATGCTTCTTTTCTCTTCAGGGTTATTTAGCACACATGTTCAGCACGGTGTCTGAATGGTGTCTGGCCTTCTCCTTCATCAGCTTCTTCCTCACCTACATCAGAGACTTTCAGGTATCTTTTAACAGACACACAAAGGACTTGAGGCTCAGTCCAAGTTTGTTTTCAAATTCACCACAGACCCTTAAGAAAAAAACTACGCTCAGCGCCGTTTTCAGCATCGAGGTACTGAAGGACACGTCAACACGCAGAAAAGTTTAGATAAATTGAGTTTCCCTAGTAGGTGAGTGATACTAGCAATAACAGCATTGAGGTGACAATTGGTGTTACAGTGCTGTTGTTGCTAGTATCACTCAGCCCTCTGTGAATAGCAAGCGGCCATCAGAGCACTAGAAAAAAGGTTTGTAGGCTCAGTCATCCAGGTAGATAACAAAAAAAGGTTAAATCATTTCATCTGGACCAGTTTCTTTAAGGGAGAAATGTTTCGTCTTCCATCCGAAAGACTTCATCAGCATGTGGCCTGCCAACCAGATCTGTCCCATAAGTAGCCTTCATTGCTGTGTTTCAAGCCAACCTCCTGTTGGAATCTCAGAAGCTTTTAACACATGCAAAAGGACCCTTCTGTCCAAAACAATCAATCATCGTGATTAACAATCAAATGTTTTAGGCCAGAATGCCATCTTGCTACTCACAGAAACAGCCTGAGGACACCAAGTCCAAAATGGTTCAGGAAAAAGGTTTGTAGGCTCAATCATCCGGTCATTAGGTTGATGGTCCTCCTTTTTCACGTGAACAGCTAGTTCTGGATGTCAACAACAAACTGGTTCATCCACTATGAGAAGGGGCTATTTAGAAGACTGAGTTTACTGCAGCTCCTCAGACTGAAGAAGTCTTTTGGATTAAAGACGAAACGTTTCAACAAGTTTTTAATTTATTTATTTTTAATCTGTCCAGAGGACCTGACTTAACTTTCTTAGATTTTTCTACCAGGATTATTGAGCATGCATCAATAATCCAGATAGAAAAATAAGTTAAGGCAGGTCCTCTGGACGTTCAAAAACAAACAAACAAAAAAAAATTGTAGAAACGTTTCGTCTTTCATCCGAGAGACTTCTTCAGTTTTTCGGATGAGAGACGAAACGTTTCTACAATTTTTTGTTTTTGTTTTTTGAACATCCAGAGGACCTGCCTGAACCTTTTTAGACGCATCAGGAAACTTAAACACTTTTAATAAACTCTCAGCTCTCGTGTATGAATGTGGACACAAAACACTTCCTGTCTCTTGGTGTCACAAGACATGGCAACAAAAGTTGTTTTTTTAACAAGATTATCAAGTCAAGCTGGTTAAACTAGTTGAAAAAAATGGCCTCCAAAGATGATTACAAAATACAAAAACTAAGCTACTTGTCATTTTTTTTGTTGTCAGCCCTACTTACTTACTTGAGCATGAACTTTGTGGCCCTAAAACAGATGTTTAATATTACTGAACAAAGCTCATCCTTTTTAAAAACATGCTCTTTTGTCTTTTTTTCTCCAAAACGAAGAAAATTAATTTGCGAACAGAAGTGGATTTGCTGAGCAGCCACCTGTACGACTCGCCACACGGAAGCATCAGCGCGTCTCGTCGGAACAACCCGTCGGAGACGTCGCCGCTGCTGGCGGGAGCCACATGACATCACAGCTGCCCTACACGCTGCATCCACACCTTTTAAAACTTTTCTCATCTCATTTAAAGCTTTTTGGACAGAGGCTCTGGTGGCTTTTAAACGCTCGGGGGCACAGAAACGTACCTTCCATCCAGTCGTACTATATGTAGTCAGATATTCAGGTCCAGATCTGGGAGACCTCCAACTCAAAGATCCGCAGGTGAATCGATGGAGCTCCGAGCTGCTCGCACCATCTTTGAACTGCATTTAAACACAGTAGTCCTTCGTTTATCGCAGGGGAGCCGTACCCTGAAGACCCGTGATAAGTGAAAAACCGCAAACGAGTAGTAAGTAGGGATGGGGCCGATCCGATCCAGTATCGGCCTCCGAAACCAGCATAATTTATGTATCAGATTTTTCCGATCCAACCTGCAGAGATTTCCGATCCATGATGCAAGTTGGCTTCAAACTATGGAATGGATTTCCTGAACGGAGGCGCGTCTCATGAACCCAGAGTATTAAGATCCGCCTCACATTCAGGAAATCCATTTCATAGTTTGCAGCCAGCTACAACGTGAGGACTGAGTTAGCAGCACTGTGGCTAACAGCTAACCAACTTTTAATCCAAACATGTCCGCTGTGTGGAAGTATTTTACACTAAACACCACAAGACAAGACAGCAACGTGCAATGTCTGCAGAGCCATAGCGCCACATTAGACCGCAGTAAAGTTAGTTTTACGTAAACAGTCACTTAAATTAATCACTTTAATATCCGCTTTAAAGCTAGGAATAAAAAAAACAAACATGTTTTGTGTTTGCAGAATTTAATTCTAACTTTGAAACTTATCCAACATTAATAAAACTTACCTCAAGTTGTCTTTTTGGACATGCATGCATATATTTGTACAAATTGTACTTGAGAGGAAGTTATTACAGCCTCATATAAAATCAATGATGATCATGATATCAGAACGGGATCGGCCGATATCCAGATTAAGGTATCGGGATCGGATCAGAAGTAAAAAAAATGTGGATCGGTGCATCCCTAGTAGTAAGTAGTAGATTTTATATATATATATATATATTATAGGCATTTTAAACCCTTCCCACACTCTTGCAATATTCTAAACAATGTTTCTAAACTGTAAAAGCTCTAAAAGAGCACAGAATGTCATGATTTCAACTCCCTGCCTCCGCTGCTCTCAGCCACCTGCAAGCGTTCTTGGCCACGCCCACTTCTCCGCTCTGCACGGTGAACAGCTGATCAGCTGCAGCAGGAAGTTTGTCCTGCAGTGTGGGCTGCACAAAGGTGCAGCAGGTGCTAAATAATTTATTTTAAATAAAAATTCTTTGCTGATCGTGCGGCTCAACCATCAGCCAGTTGTGCGCCATGTCCAATCTTATTTTGAAAAACCGCGATAAACGAACCGTGAAGTAGCGAGGGACTACCGTACGTCTGACTGAATAAAGATACCGGAAGGAGACACTTTGTCATTCGGGCTAGCTGACCAAGAGAATGCTAATTTTATGCTTTGCACTTCATACCCTGACAACATATCTGCACTTCGTATGTTTTTAAAACATTTTAAAGCCGTTTGTTTTATTTTTATTGTACTGGGGACCTTTCCTGCAGAAGATGGATACAGCTGATTTATTAGCCAAGCTTTTATAAAGTATCCAGGGTTGAATTTTTTCCTTATTGGGTTTGGAAGTTTTCTAATACTGTCATTTAACCGCATTACGTATTTTAGTTTTTATTATGTTGTTTGACTTTAAATGTAACCTGTTTAAACTTGTCTGACATTAATGATCCATAAGCTCAAATGTAAAATACCAGAAGAAAAAAAAAGTTTTGAGGTACTTTGTGATGTTTTAGCGCTTATTGAATGCATTTTATTCTTCTAAGTCCTATAATTGAGTCTGTGAGCACTGATTTTTAAACTTTCAGATAATTCAAGAAACTATTGTCTGTTAACTCAACAAATGTGCTTTTTTTAGGATCAAAAGTTTGTTCTTTGCATTGTTGAACATTCCTTTTGTTCAGACTAATAAAGTTACAAGAGTTGTATAAAGAGATTTTCCATCTGTTTTTATCCAAAAGCTGCACGTTTCATGATTTTTATTACGCCACCATACTTTAAACATTTGTTTAAAAGCCTTTTAAATGTTAAATCAAATAAAAAAAGTTAATAATAAATAATATAATACAATATATTACAAAAAACTTTTTTAAACAATAAAAATTAAAAATAATAAGTAAGCTAATAATAAAAAAAGCAATAAAACTGGATTTGAAAACAAGTTTTATCTCCAGAGGTTTCTCCCAAACCTCAAACATTAAAACTGCATATACATTTATAAAAACCTTTTCTCTTTTAATTCCTTGCTTCTTTGTGCAAATTATTCATAAAACACATTTTTTGAGCAGAACGAGCTGAAACTCCGTTTTACAAAAAGCACACCACACAAAAAGAAACCGAATACGTTTTATTTTTTCATAAAAGTAAATTTATGCAAATAACTATTTTCTTTCCGTTGCGATGAAAGTGATGTAGAACGCAGAAACTTCTACCGAACATGTTAACTTTGGCAAAGTGATTCAACAACATTCAGACTTAATTCTCAATAATGCACAAAATATATTCTCCGTTATTTCTTTCTCCTAAAACTTAGCAACAATTAAAAATATATTACAGCTTATTTTCTGAATCAATAATTAGACATTTGTACAATCAAAACAATAAAGTCAGAGGAAGCAGCTTTGTCAAACGTGTAAATAAAAATCTTTCCTGTGTGAGGCCGCGCGCCAAGTTTGAGGTCGTTAAAGGGTCAGTTCGAACGTTTCGGAAGGAAAACGATCCAAATAATCCACTAAACAAACCGGGAGTCACAAGATCAACTATTTAAAAACTCCACATTTGTCTGTGTGTGTGTTTAGAGGCATCTTTCTGCTGCTTCGTTTCAAACTTTGCTCAGGGATGAGCCAAATTTTACGAAGCTTTTTCCACCGGTAAAATATAATTTTGTAAATTTTTACAACTTTTCTCTCTTTTAAAATCAGTTAATATAAGACTGCTTTTGTAGCAGCTTAAATATTAAATCCCTCAACTGTAAACAGCAAACTGCTTCTTCCCCCACAAAAAAAAAAAATTAAATTTGTAGATTTGATCCTCGTGCAAATAATTTCACAGAGACTCACCGAGTATAAACCTGCAGCAAAGTCTGACCTCGCTGACAAAGTGCTGTGCAAACTGCTGGAGCTGGAGCTGTGGCTGTTTTAACGTGAACTGGACATTTACCGTTAAAAACAAAACAAGCTAAAGAGCCGAGGGCGAAGCTCAGCAGCTGAACATTTTAGAAAACCATAAACGAACTGAAATGAAAATCACAACTCTGGATTTTGACTTTTCAGCACATTAAATAATGACGGCAAAGAGAAATCAAAGAACTTCCTTTGCTGATGGAGACTTTCTCGTCTCGTATGGGTTGCCTGAGAGGAAAATGTATTTTGGCATCAAGTGGTGAATCCCTAAAGAATTTAACTTTTTGGAGTCTGATCTTCGACGTTAAAGAAGCCAAATAAACGCAGTTGGCCTCACAACGTTGGGTTGTTCGTCGTCTACTTTGGCACTCAAAAGAAAAACGAGGTGTTCTTGACTGATCGGGTGCGATTGGTGGCAGTGATTCTGAGGGCTAGGACAAGTAGAAACTCAAAAACGTTCTTTTTCTTAATCGCTCTCGGAGCAGCTGTGGCAGAATCGCATGAATTTCAACAGTTGACCAAAAACACAAAGTCAGAAAGCCACGCCTCGATTCTCTGAGCTCGACCCATGAAGCCGCCTGCACCGTTTTCCAAAATCGACCTCCGTGTGACGAGGGGTGGGGGGAGACCCAGACCTGAAGGGTGCTATAGGAAACACCAGCTGTGTTAAAAGGCAACTGCGGGCAGAGACACAAAAAGGCCAACGAGCTCCACAACCAAACATTCAAAGCCGATTTGCGCGTCGCATCCCAGTCCTGAACTCTGCCACGCCCGGGGGCTAAAAGGTCGATCCGTCACAGATGATGTTCTGACCACGACCGGGGAACAGCTCCATCTGCCAGTACCGAGGGTCCGCGTACACTGAACAGATCAGAGGAGACGACCGTCGTCAGCGAACGCTCCAACCAGAGTCGACCGATTTTAGGAATCGGGTGCATTAATTTCCACAGTGGGGATTAATAGAGTAAAATAAAATTAACAGAAACTGGAAAAAAAATAAAAAACTTATGGCTATGAAGCGATAAAGAAGTGTAAATAAATATAATAAAAACAGATTTCTCTTTCCAAGTTTCTTTAGTACAATTAATCTACACTAAAGACAAATTATGCCACATTAATACGCAACATGACAACATATATATATATATATAGTGCATAAGATTATGCTGTGTGCATATATCTACCAAAATATAATATTTGTCTTTTTTATTTATATTTGGTTAGTGAAAAAAAAACGCATTAGTAATAAAAACATATCTTTGAGACTAAAATATGTTATAAAAACTAATATATGTGTAATAAATATAAAAATTCTGATAATTTCTTCTTTTTAAAAAAAAAAAAAACTTCCCAGACTATTGCACTTTATTTAAAATAAAACCAATAACTGACTGCAGTTGGAGTGTTGACTCATTTCGCCTGCGGGACTGTCGGTGTGTGTCGGCAGCAGAACTTACCCATGTCTCCAGGTGACAGCCACAGGTTGAAGGAGCTGCAGTGTTTCTGGCACCGCTGAACAGGCAGGACTCGAACAGTTGGCAGCCCCTCTCCCACCACCAGCCACCCCAACACCCTGACGCCCTGAAACAAAACAAAACCCGAACTTTAGCTTCTAGTGAGTAAAGACTACATAATGTCACGTGCTCTTCTTGTAGCTTCTGCAGGGCTCTCCACACGGAGCGAACTTCCACAAAATATTTGGCAATTGTTTCACACTGGATGTCCTTCCTGACACAACCTGGGACTCGAACCTGCAGCCTCACGGTTACGCAACTGCAGAATGTCACATGCTCTATCTCTATTTAAAGTCATTGTTAATGAGTGATTTTCTCTTTAATAACCGATACTATAGTCGTGTTAAGACCTTCTGTCTCCGAGTCCAGACATTTGCACTGCTGGGCTCACCTTGCTCTGAGAGTTTGTGCTGTGGGTGACCAGGCAGCGCTGCAGGATGGTCCCAGCGCTGTCCAGCAGGGGGCAGAGCTCAGCCTTTGGGAAGAGCCACCTCAACACCTTCTCCCTGGTCCCAGAGCTGAACCTCCTGCAGGAGCACAAACACTAGTTTTTAGACATATCAGCATCTTTTAAACAAAAGCGGAACATTTCTAACCCAGTTCAATCAACACTCTCCAGAACACGTCCAGTGTTTGTGTGTGAACAACACTTAGGTCCACTTATAAAACCTCACAGCTGGGCAGGGAGACATTTGGGCCTTTTCCATAGCTCCTCTTCAGCCCGGTTCGACTCACTTCGATATGCTTCCAAGACTTTTTCCACTAGCACTTTTTTGTGGAACCAGACCCTTTTTAAGTCCCTTCTTCTCTGGGGTACCAAGTTACCAACCGAGCCAAGCCGGCACCAAAACGTGACGTCAGAACACCGTCGTTCACTGATTGGTCAGGGGGAGGAGTCACTGGATTCTTTGAGAAACTTTTCAAAACACCCGATCCGCCATTTGCAATGAATCGAGCTCAGAGCAGCGGCTGGATCTATTTTTATGACTTCAACACCGCGTTCTAATGCTGAAGTCCAGGCGTTTTCTTTTTTTGTGCGTTTGGTGACCGACGGCAAAATTCAGAGCGAGCTATTCACCGCGGAGGATCATACGAGCTGCTGACTCGTTGAAGGCCTGTCTGCAGCATTAGCTGAGCTTTGGAAAGATCACCAGCTCTCGTGGGGCCAGCTCATCGTCAGGAAACGAGTTAAAAAGAGCCAACAGGAATCTCCTAGTCAGGAAAGCATGGAAAAATATGTTTACTGAAAAAAATCCCACATGTGTTTAAGATGAAATCTAATGTGATCTGGTTTTACAGAAGCACTGATCTGATCTCAGGTCTGCTTCTTATTACATTTAACAGTCAAATAAACGATGCACAACCTCCTGCACTAACAGTCAATGGGAATAAAATATATATATTTTTAAATCTGTATTTTTAAGTGAAACTAATCCCATCATATCCACGCCGTTACATTTTAATTCCAGTAGCCTGAGGAATCGGACTGGTGCCGTTTAAACGGATTCACTTTCAGAATCGGGGAGAGCCACACGGTTGTTCAGTGTGGACAGATTCATACCAGAGCAAAGTGAAGTTGGCAGGTCCCTGAGGGACGCCGAGGTTCTGGTCATGCAGGCCGTCGTCCTCCTCTAGTAGAATGGACATGGAGTCCGGATGGGCCAAGTAGAGCTCCTCGAGCTGCTGCCTCTGGACGCTGAGGGACTCTCCACCCTTCAGGGAGATGATTTTAAAAAGTTCAACTGTAAAAACACTAAAACTTCAAACATCAGCAGATTGTTCAACTAGAAGACATTTGATCTTATCTTAACTAGAGAAAATGCAACGTCTGATGGCTCATCCTTTTCGTGTTCGGTTCTGACCTTCAGCAGGACGAGCTGTGGCCCCCGTCGCAGACTCACAGTCCCTCTGAGGCTCTCTGGGACCTCAAGCACCGAGGAGATCTCGGCACATCCCGAGCAGTTGACCAAACTCTGCCTGAGGGAACCGGCGCTCCACCACTCGTGGAAACCTGCAGCACAAACACATCGTTGCAGGAAACATCTGCGTCCGTTTGTGTTAAAACAGGAGACGACGTGAGCCACGGCCGCTGAACCGAGTACCGATGAGTACAGACCACGGTAGCTTTTAAGCAAATCATTGACGTTAGCAGATGTTTTTACACTTTGTTTAATGCGATTTACTTCAGAATAACACTTTCACGATCGACAATATTAACATGGCTCATGTTGTGGGGATGTTTGATGTGAAAGAAACTAGAATATTCTGTTGAGAACTGTGTATTTGTATTGTGCAGTAAAATGTAACATTAAGATCTTAATTGCAAACACCACGAGTTGTTTAACTCCAGTGACAAAACAGATACATACCGTACACACCTCAACCATATGACAGAATGAAAACAACTGCTTTGATGCTAAGCAGCAATGTAGTTTTAATTATTTGATGCAATACCACGAACAAAAGAGTGGCAACGCTTCCTACCTTGCAGGTTATACTTCTTGGCGATGGGTAGGGAGAGCAGGCGGACATGGCTGAGAGGGGACGACCAGTTATAACAGCCCAGACTGGCCAGTCCCAGCTGAGGGGCGTTCTGGGGGTAGGTGAAGGCCAGCACCACCACCAGCAGGATCCCCACAGCCACAACAAACTGCACACAACAAACATTCAAACACAGAGACGACGCATTCTTTAGAGAAAAATTACAAAAAAAAGCACAGAAAAATTAGATCAATTGGGCGGCGCAGCGGCAAAGTAACATCTGTCGCCTCACAGTGACGTCAAGTCAAGGTTCTTTATTGTCATTCGCATCACATGTGGTACATGAGGTGGAATGAAACTGTGTACACGGGGTCCCAGTTACATCCAACAATAGCAAAAATATAAAGTGTAAAAACAAACAGTAAATAAGGATCCAAGATATAAACTAATACGCTAAACGAACGCCAGATGGTACGCTAAAAGATAACTGCACCACCGTGTCGCCTCAGAGAGATTCAGCCCATCTAAAATGTTAATTTTACACCCGGTCCTCTTTCTGACCCGACGTCAATTATCGAAGTCACAAAATGTTCCTTCAGCCGTTTCTTATTTATTCTATTTATTTTTACAGCCTTTTGTTTTTCCTTGTCCCAACATTTTAAAATATGCCTAATTTAAAAAATAAAAAAAAACACGATTTTTTTTTATTTCAACATTTGATTTCTTTACTATATTCCATTCAGAATTACAATGGGCTTGTGGGAGTTGAAAATCATTGCATTTGTTTATATATATATATAAATATATATATTTATGAATATATATGAATATATGTTTCTGTTCAGTGCCCTGAGATGACGTCTGTTGTGACTTGGCGCTGTATAAATAAACTGAATTGAACTGAATTTACATTATACATTACGTCCCATTTCGTAATTGTTGTAAAATACAGTGTTCAGATAAAGATTTCTTCTTAATGAATCCATCAGATTTGCCTGCTGACAGCAGGCTTTTCACCTTGATGGTGGCCCTCAGTATGGGGAACTGTGGAGGTTCTCTTCTGGGCTCGTTGGTCTCCAGGACCTGCTTGATGAACTTTTCGATCTCCCTCTCCGACATGCCGTAGCGATAGCCCGACTGGCGGAGGATGTCGATGCTCTCAGATAGTTTGTCATAGATACACGGCTCGCTCGTAGTCGTTCCCATGACAACGGCAGTGTCAACAGCTCCTCGGTCAAACGTGTCGGTCTTCAGCAGTCTTCAGGTTCATGGTGTCGGCTCACCTGTGAAGCCATCCAAGAGTTCATTATCACTGTCATAACTTTTCACTCCAGCGGATTAGAGTAACACTTTTAGTGAAACTTTCATTAAAATATCAATGGATGAACATCTGACACTGAACAACTTGTAAAGCCAAACTAATTTAAGATGGCTACCATGGCAAAATGACCTTATAAAACACAAAAAAGGCTATAATTCAGTCAATTTTACAGATACTGTGCCAAATTTAGTGTGGTTGTTGCAGAGGTTCATTCACAATACACTTGCTTAAAAACTTTAGCATTAACTGTTGCCAACACAAAAATAGCTAGTCGATTTTACAGATATGTGCTAAAATTTGATGTGGTAGTAGCAGGGAGTGGTATTTCACAACTCATTCTCCGAGCACAACATCTCGCAATATTGCATGATTGTGCAAAAGGTTATTTGCAAGTTTTTACCAAAATGCTACAACTAAAATATAATCCTAGTCAGCGAGTAATATGCACTCCTTAAAAAAAAACTACTTTCAGACTTTATAATTTGGCTAATTAATCTCTTGCAGCTTCCACATCACTTACAATTAAAAGGGATATCTTAAATAACCCCCTAATAATATCCCCCTCTTTTGTGTCAGAAGCCATTAGCAAATCAAAACTGAACTAGTAAGGAAATATATAAAATGTAACTTTATTTAGGACTTCTATAATGTGAATTATTTCTGTTTTAAACTGCAGAGGAAGCAATTTTCTTAGCTCAAGAGTAGAAAATCTACAGCCTTTATACATTTGTCTCCTAACTTTAATTTCAAATCTTGATGTCCTTCATGGGTGTTAAACTTGAAGGTAGTTATTACTTTTAAACATTTGTAAACAATAGGAATAGTATGAACATTGTTCCACACAAACAAGACTACGTGTCCAAATTGGTTGATTGGATTTTCTCTTTTAATTTAATAAGAATTACGACAAAACAAACCTTTAAAATGTCGTTTAACCTACAGATGACCTTTGTTCGGTGGCCTGGGAGCAGAGACAGATATAGGAACCAGAAGGAAGAACATTTGCAGATTTAACTAGTAAAACAGGAACCTGTCAGCGATAATTATGTACCCAGACTCAACAAAAAAAGGCAAAAATCATGACTAATCTATTAATTTATTGATATTATTTATTTGAGGCTTCATTGTGTGAGCTTTACGTTTTCGGTAACAAAGATTAAAATCTAATCGCAAGAGTTTTCAAACGAAATAATCTGGCAGGTTAGCTTGTCTGATGATTAGCCATGTCAGGTTAACTCAAAAACTGAACACGATTTTTATAAAACCAGCTGAAATCCTCACCTCATGGTGAGGTCCTCCGTTGAAGTAGAAACAATGTCATTGTGTTCCCTAAAATAGCTATATTTTATTAAAAATACATGAATAAATAAACTACAGGTAAATACGACTGATAAATACGAGCAATATTCTTCTTCTTGAGGTTTATCCGCGGTTTGCGCATTATCTACTGTGAGGCGCAGCAGCGCCCCCTGCTGACAAAAATGAGGCAAAACAGCATATTTTCAATAGATGGCATTCAGTTTCATTTGAGGGAAATTCAGTTTCAAAACATCTATTCAAGTTCAGTTTCTGATGGCATAACTTTCAGCCCATACTATGGGCTATAGCTAATTATCTACTTCTAATTCTTGAATTATTACATACCTATTGTTTTTTTTTATTTATTATCTGTGCACAATAAAAAAAAAATCCATTGAGCAAATGTGTTTGACTGAAAATTAATGATAAAAGTGAACACTGGTGTCATAATGATGCGTTGTGTTTCACTAGATAATTCTGCAAAGTTGTTTTTTTGTTTTTGACAAGAAGACATAGATAACATATCACACAGATAAGAAAAAAAAAACAATTTTGGTCAATTTTACATTTGATGGATGATGACAATGGAGATTTAGCCAAACTGGAAAAATGAATGGGTGGCAAACTTGGGTAGAGCAGTTACTCTGAAGAAGCAAGTAAAGACAATGGATGGATGGATGGATGGATGGATGGATGGATGGATGGATGGATGGATG